TTCTAGCGAATGAAGATGAATACAGCACCATATTGGCATGCCCAGGATCTTTAAGTTCGATTCTATATTTCTTCTTTTCATACTTTTGCGACAAAAAGAAAAGGTAATGTACCTTAGGACCTCTGGGCCATTTCGCCAAAGAGGGGTTGAGGTGGTGTCACACTTAGCGCAACCGCGAGTGACGAGCGGGGCGGCGGCAGCACGGGCGGACTTGTGGGATGAAGAAGATAAAGAGTGACGTGATTCAATGAGCGGCCTCTCATTGGCAGAAGTGAGACGAGTGGAAGGCATTCTCAGAGAAAGAGTACAATCCACCAGAGAAGAAGAGTAGATGGTTTGATCATAATCCGGAGCTTCGTCATTATAATAGTACTGATTATAATTCTGATTTGCCGGCGGGGAGGAGAAGAACATGGAGGATTGTACAGTCCTGACTTTTGGCATTTCTCCTTTATCATTTGTTCATAAAGTGTTGCTTCACCATGAAGAGTTTGTCCCACGGGCATCTTGCATTGGAGCGCAGACATCTTTAAAGTCTGCAATTATTCTCCTTTAATTTACTGTTTTTTTCTCTTATAATCTGAACCTGTCGAACAGGAGGAAGGGGAAGAAGAGATTAGATATGGAAAGTCCCATTTTACCCCTGAACTTAAACGTCTGTTTAATGCCAATTTGATGGAAGGACCAATGGTGGAACAAATCTGATAGTCAAGGGCTTGTTTCGTCCAAATTAAAAGACAAGGAGTAAATTTGGAAAATCACAATAGTCGGAGGACCATTGCTGGAATTAACTCTATATATATATATATATATATATATATATATATATATATATAGTTATATAGTTAATTCCACTAAAGGTCCTTTGTCTTTGGTGGCAATTCTAAATTTAGTCTCAGACTATCATTTTCTCCATTTAATATCTTAGACTATTATTTTTTGGACACTTTTTTAGTCCTTCTCATGAATTTTTCTATTTTTCATAAGGGTATTTTTGTCTCTTCATATTGTTATTTTGTTATTTTTTTCGGTTTCAACAGGTTTAATTGGTTTAGGACTTTACAAAAAACCGGTTGAAAAATATGGTTACTAAAAAATCAGAGATTACCTAAATTTTTAAACCAATTAAACTGGTTGAAACCGAAAAAATAACAAAAGAAAATATGAAAAGACAAAAATGCTTTTACCAAAAATAGGAAAGGTTTTTTTTTTTTTCGTGGAGAAAACGAGGCAAAGCCTCGGATTATCTAATTCTACGAGTGTAGGCGCCTCCTACGTCGCGTCGCAAACTTCCCCAATCCTTGCTTTGTGCTAAATTTGCCAAAAAGTCCGCGCGTTGATTACCCTCTCTAAACGTATTTTTGAAGACAATACCATCAAAATTGTTCACCATTTTACTGCAATCCACTAGTTGGGTGCAGCCGGTGTCGTCAATCTCCTTGTCCTCCTGCAACAAGTCCACCACAGATTTGGAATCCATCTCTACAATTATCCTTCTATACCCTTTTTCAAGATAGAATCGTAAACCCTCCCTTAAATTAGGCCACACAGTTCTGCCTTGAAACTCGTCATAACACCAATTTTGTCCGTGAAACCCCAAACCATGTTCCCAACTGAATCACGTACGTACCAAGCCACCCGCTGAAGCCATCCTCGACCTTTTCTTGAAGGCTCCGTTAGTGTTCAGCTTGTACCAACCGCGATCCGGTGGGGACCACTGCACCCAGAACGATTTAGCCGCGATCATGTTCCTATGCTTCCTCACGTCGTCAGCATCCTTAGCTTGCGAGATTGCCCACAGCACTGATTCCAAAAGGGACCATTGCATGTTGTTGAAGGCCGAAATATTTCTGTGTTTCCATCTAGCCCAGAGGACGAAACAGAAAAGGAGAGGCCATTATGGATTGGCCTAGTTGATGCAATTTGCTTTAAGCCATTCTTCTAACGTCTAGTGTATCGGGAAGGTGAAGGTCCTAGGCCGCCGGTGACAGTCTCCAGGTGGTTAGGGCTGCAACACTATCCCAGAAAAGATGTCGTAGCGTCTCCATTTCTGAACCGCAGACGGGGCAACATTCATCCCCCGCGATGTGCCGTCTGACCCTTTCAGCGTTTGTCAATAAGCGTCCTTTCAATGCAAGCCAAAGGAACATCTTAATTTTCTCCCAGCATCCAAGATTCCATAGCTAAGTCCAGTCCTCCTTGGAGTCCTCTGTACCCGAGAAGGACTAAAAATGTCCAAAATATAATAATCTTATTATTGATCAATTCATGATTATAATTAAAATTACATGATGAAGAGATGTATATATATTTGGGTAATTCTATTTACACCACTCCTTTAATAGGTGTAATAGCTTTATAGGTGGTGCACATAGAAAAGTGCTATTTGCACCACCTTCATTAAATATAGTCAAACATTAATATTTATTATTCATTTTTTTAACAATCAAACTATTAATTACCATGGAAGGCAGGCCAGTTGCCTTCTCTTGTGAGAAAGCAGTCCCTCGACTTCTCACCGGAGAAGGTGACGGGTTCGGTGATGACTTGCAACGGCGGTGGTAGCATGGACAAAGCAAATGAGATGAGAAGATGATTTGGTTTTGTTGGTTGGTTGAATTCTTAAAGTTGTTAAATCTGTAAATGAAGTTTATGAAATGGGATGAAGTTGTTGTTGGTGTAACTATGGCGAGAGGATAAAGATGATGATGATGTCATGTTGATGCAATAATAATGCTATTGATGGAGTTTCTTATTTACGATTAAGATGATAAAGTGAGTTTATGATAGTGATTAGATGATGTTAATGATGAGCTGGTGAGGTTTGGCGGTGATGTTAGAAATTCGAATTCTTTTTTATTTATTATTTAATGTTTTATTTAATTAAATTTTGAATAAAAAGCTGGTGAGGTTTGGCGGTGATGTTAGAAATTCGAATTCTTTTTTATTTATTATTTAATGTTTTATTTAATTAAATTTTGAATAAAAAATTTATTAATTACACCTGCGATTTGACCAAAGTGGTGCAAATAGCAAAATGAAACCGGCCCTCATTTAGCTATTTACACCACCTATGTAATTATTGAAAATTTTAACCTTTTTACAATTTCAAAATACTTTATATTCACTTTTAACCAAAGGATGGTGCAAATAGCAACACTCATATATTGAATGATACAAAGAATCCCAGTCAAAATATGAATGATAAATAGTGTGCCTTAAAATACAAATTCCTAATGAATTTTTTTTTTTTTTTTTTGGAAACAATTCCTAATGTATATAAACATCATAAGATTGATATCTATCTATGCACTACCGTCAATCGTTATACCCTACACCACGGTGCGCGTAGCACTGTGCGTCGCGCGCCTCCCAAAACGACATCGTTTTGGGGTCGTTTTGGGAGGCGCGGTAGAAAGTTACTTTGATTATGTATATTTGTTCACACAATTATGTATATTTGTTCATACAATTATGTATATTTGTTTATACAGTTATGTACATTTTTTATACAATTATGTACATTCTTTTTATACAATTATGTACATCCGAATCAGAAAATTTCTGTGTATTATGTTAAGAGTTGATGTGTATTATGTTAAAAGTTTATGTTTATTATGTATTATGTTAGATTATGTGTATTATCTTTTAAAAAGAGTATGTATATTTTGTTATATAATTATGTACATTCATATATACAATTATGTGTATTCTAGTATAACATTATGTACATTTTTGAACAGGAGTTTTTTTTTAAAGAAAACATAACTGCCATACACTGGGCGGAAAATTTCAAAAAAAAAATAAAAAATTAAAACGACGTCGTTTTGCATCTGGGCGCACAATACAATGCGCGCCGTGGTGTAGGATATAAATTGCCCACTACCGTGGTAGCTAAGGTTTGAGATCCAATTAAGTCCAGCCGCGCCGTAGCCCACAACCGACCATTGCAGCACCGTCGAGGTACGTACGAAGTGCATGCGGGTTTTTTCTGCAACGCAAATCCTTAGAAGCTTTTAATTAGCATTCTATTCTTCATCGAATTTAATTTGCAAGAAACGTAACATTCAAGTTCGAAGGTGGACTACGCTTCAAAAAAATCGAAGAAGATGGACGACGCTTCTTCAAGTTCATCAACTCCTGCTACTTCCATAGCTTCTCTTCCCCAAGAAATAATTCTCAAAATTCTCACCTGTCTTCCTCCCAAATCTGCGGTCTCTTTCAGGTGCACTTCTAAATTCTTCCATTCTTCAATCCCTCAGCCGCACTTCAAGTTTAGAATCCTCTTCTCGTTTCCATCCGCAAGCAATCCCACAAATCTCTACACTGTGGGCTACACTACTGAAGAGAGCCATGGAAGGCTCCAACCCAGCAGTCTCCAACGCTCAGCGGACACTAGTACAGAAACAGTCATTCGCGTCCAAAGTAAAGCATAATTCGCGTCCAAAGTTGCTGGGACGCAGATGTCGGGGAATAAATTTTTGACACGAAAAATGATAATTAGCGTCCAAAGTTGAAGAACTTTGGATGCGCAAAGTATTTTTTTATTAAAAAAATAAACACTATACGCGTCCAAAGTTAATGAACTTTGGACGCGTATAGTGTTTTTATTTAAAAAAAAATTACTATACGCCTACAAAGTATAATATACGCGTATTATATATATATATTTTATATATTTAAGTTTAAAAAAAAAAACTGAAATCAGCACTAATACATAATATGACAAAATATGTGTTGAGATGGCTTCTAAATCTTACAATTGCACACATACACTAAAGAAAGCAATGAAATTAAGCAGACAAGTGAAGCTACTCACAGATAATTAATCAAAATCATGTCATTGATGAAATAAGGAAGACTTCTGCTTAAATTATTATATGCAAGATTCCTGAACACACAAACGAAAACACTACTACTTAGAGAACTAAACAAAAACACAAATACAAAATAAAAGTAGACCAGACACTTCACTAATAATCAAATGGACATAAACTCACCGTAAGCCAGGTGGATAACCATTGGACCAGAAGAGAGTTTAGGTGATGGGAAGAGATCTGCCCCACGGGATGTATCACAATATGAGAACGATTGGGGAGAATCAACAGGTGATTTCCATGTCCCTATACATTGCAGAACGAGAGTTAGACAAGATATAAAATCATACAGAACTAGAGGGCACTAGAAGAGAAGTCCTCATACCTAGCGCAGAAAATTCAGATACCGATGGAGGTAAATTTGCTGGGTGTGCACGCCTGTTCCTTTGTGGAGGCTGGAGCGTTTGAGGTGTCGAAGTGACAAGTGCTTCTATCTCCCATGGTGAAACCCTATCAGGACACACAATTGAACATGGTTCATCCCATTGAACTTGAACAAACAAATAACAATATAGGTGTGCCATGATCCACTACTATTCTTGCAACCCTTAAAATGCTCTAGAAGATAATATCCCAAATCACAAAACACCCACCACCCCTCCAGTCACATAAAAGGAATCACTTCGATGACAGAAGATTTATTACAAGCTCTAGAAATAACAATTAATTTTATTGAGAATGAAATTGCATGGCCTATAAATAAAACATTGATGTCTTCACTGTAAAAGGACAAAATTGTCCAATGAAATGCAAAAGAAAAAGAGCAAACCTTGGCCTGTAAAAAACTGAGAAAAGAGTCCTAGTATTTATGGCATGCGATGCAGTAGCAAGAATTCCCAGATGCATACTGTGACTTGATATAACAGAAGATGGCATATTGTTCAGCTGTCTCATTAGCCTTCTGACTCCAACTCATTACATCATTTCTCTTCAGAATGATACTACAACTATTCCAAGGTTTATCAAACAAAAGAAAGCCTTACCGTAACTCTTTCAGCATATAATGGATTGCCAGCAAGGGTTCTGATTCTACCATTTGTTTGTGGTATGCTTTCTGTTAGTGAACCGTTAGATTTCTGGGATGAACCATTAGCACTCTGGGATGAATGAAAACATAAGTTTATACTAAATAACCTTCAATATAAATTACACCTAAACAGGTCACAGATTCCATTCTAAAAACAAGCTAAAAGAATTTAGAAACAATATAATAAAGTTCGGAGACATGCTTCTATTACACAAACTCAAACAATCAAATGAAAAAAAAATAATTCCGAATATCCTATCAGCTAGACAATAAGAGAAAATAATACAGTTCAAAGAGCTCCAACATTTCGAAACAAACCTGAGAAACATGGAGCCTTCCTCTATCGCCGTCGAAATGATGCATGTATGGCTTTCCTGGTTTCAATTCAACTCCTGGACGAAAGTTCAGAGAGATTCATGCTTTAAAATGCAACATTTCTATTTTGTACGTAGATTTCTTATCAAATTGAATTGAATTGACTTAGGTAGAATAGATACCAAATTAAAAGAAACATCAAAAACAAAAAACTGACCCCATAACCCTCAATAAGATTCTTAAACTATTGTTAGAATAAGAGCCTATTTTCCAACAAAGTCAGAAGTACCTTTAATGTAATTTGAATGTTATTTTGAACCAGGGTCCACAATGCAAGGTGGATCCTGGTACTTGGTATTATTTGCCCGAATCAGAGAGTTGGAAAATCTTCAGTATTCATTTATTCAGCTGAAGGGAGAGGGCAGCAGGCATAAGAGGCAAACGCCAAAAATAAATATTTTCCCTCATACCATTTTGAATTTTTTTTTTCCAACTTAGCAAACAAAGGAAAATGAATATCTCCATTTTCTATGCTTCCAACCACCAAGCATGGGAAATGAGATTTTCCCCTTCATAGGGTGAAAATCCAATCATTAGACTACTTTATTTTTAATTTTTTTAATAGAGAATTCTTGTACTAATTCATGGAAGAAATTTCTTCTTGTGCTTGTCAGCTCTAGGAGGCTTGAGGTAAGCAGAGTGGAATTATTGCTGCAGGTTGGGGCATTTTGTGTAGCTATTGGTGCTCTGGTATCAGGTAATCCATCAGCCAAACTATTAATGTTTATATGTGGCTAGAATCTACCTTTAAGTGTTAGTTCATTAGTAATGCGTGGGAACTATGAAAACCAAATGCAAGGCTTCATTGTAAATAACAAAATAAATAAACAACAATAAAAATAACAAAATATAATTTAAACAATTACTGAATTTAAAATTTTAATTCTTACCTTTTTGGAGAGCGTACAACGGCGTCCGTACTGCGATGTCGAGCTGAGCTTGTAGAGCGGAGGCGTCGCGGCGGGGACGTCGAGCGGCAGAGGCGGGGACGTCGATCGGCAGCGGCGGGGACGTAGATCGGCGATGGAAGACGGGACGGCGATGGACGGGAAGATGGAGAGCGTGGACGGCGGGGACGATGGAGATTGATGGACGGCGTCGGACGGCGGGGACGATGGAGACTGATGGACGGCGTCGTACGGCGGTGCTAATGGAGATGACGGGGAAGATCGGAGCTGCTGATGGAGATGACCTTTACGATCTGATCTCGATCTGCTCGTAAAAAAGCTCAGGGCTTTTTTATCCCAAAAGCCCCATGGGCCACTTTGGACGCGATTTATTATTATTCGCGTCCAAAGTACCGAGCTTTGGACGCCAATACTGTTTTAAAATTAAAAAAAAAAAAATTATTTATATAGTGGCATTTTAATTATAAAAATGCCACCGCATTACACTTTAGGCGTCCAAAGTTCTGACTTTGGATGCGAATTAATCGATTTTATTGATGTTTTTTGTACTAGTGAGATGAATTGCAGCGTTTTAAACAACTTCATGGTTCAAGCTTTGCAGATGGGAAGCTTTGTCTGTTCAACAGAAATGGAGAGATCACTATCTTGGACCTTAGTACAAGACAATATATTTCTCTTCCCCAAACATTTGTCGAGCCAGGAGACCTGTGGGAAAAAATTATCTTTTTCGGTGCAGCCCTGGGTTTTGATCCGGTGTCAAAAAGGTACAAGGTTTGCAAGTCAGAATTATACCTTAATAATAGTCACTACTTTTCTTCCACCCCCGAAGGTATGTTGAAGGTTTTAACTCTTGGGGTGGATGAATCATGGAGGGTGGTGACTGCCGAAAACATCTTCCACCCTCGAAAGAACATTGCTTGTGTTCAAATTGATGGTATTATCTATTTGATAAATTTTAAGATAAATTATAGGAATAAACAAGAAATTGCTGTATTTGATATTGAGACGGAGAATTTAATTAGGGTGATACCTTTTCCCTATAGATTCCAACACTGTGTTTGGCCGAAGACGTATTATTCATCATGGGTGAAATTAAATGGTCAACTAGCTTATATTTATGTTGGTTTAATCGAAAGGACCCGAATATTTGTTTGTACTTTGGAGAAATCATTGGGACTGGTGTGGGACAAACATGAGGTTCCTCTTACATTGGAAGTGGAAAAAATCATTAGCGAAGCTGAATTCGTGGGCATTACAGCCAATAGTATTGGAGAAATTGGGTTCATGATTCGAGTTGAGAGAATGCCTTCTTCAATTTTAATTTATGCATGTGGAACAAAAGTATGGAGAAAGTTTGAGATATGTGGACTTCCTAACTATTCATCTTCTGAAAATTTGAGAAGGATTATTGTGCATGTTATAGAAGAGAAAGTATATTTTTCTGAATGAATTAGAAGATGGATCTTTAAGTAAAAGCATATTTATTGAGTCTGAATGAATTAGAATATTTAGTTTATTTTGATAATCTGCCCATCGTGTATTACTTTTATCAAAATGGATATAATGTATCTTAATTTTATATTATTGTTTTGTTGTGTTATTTAATTTCCTTGCCAAATGAAAAGTTGTGAATCTTATCACTACCATGAATCATTGAGCACATAATTTTAATTTTTTTTTTAAAAAAAAAAACTAGTATTTTCGCCCGAGCAATGCACGGAATAGATTTTTTAAAATATTTTAAGAATATTTAGATCGATATGTAATTATTTAAATTATTACATCGAATATTATATAATGAAATTGATGAATTGAGTTGGATCGATTTTATTTTCTAATGTTATCATTGCTTGAATTCGATCAAATAATTGCTCAATTAATAGTCAATGTGTAGATGTATGCATCCAGTGCTGAAACTTTAGATATTTTAAATATCACTGTTCAGTGAATTATATCTGCGGATCATATTTAATTTTGAGTGAATTATTAATATTCATTAACTTTTTCAATTGGTCTAATTTGTTTTTCATCTTTAAGCAAAATCTTCCTTACACATTTTATACATAATTACACATCTTTATATATACGTATTGTAATGAGGTCCCATAATTTTGGATAAAGATGTGCTACAAAAGCCGTCATAATTAATTTCTTTTGAATCATTCATACGTATTGCAAGCACATTTTCATCTTTAATTACACAAATTTCCTTATAAACTGTGGATACTAAACGATTTTATTCAATTTTCCATTAGTAAATATATATCTTTACATAACTATATTTCCAGTAACATATATATACAATTTTTTTTTAAAATATCTCCATTAACTTTTCATTTTATAAAATATATAACTAAGATTAATATTTTTTCCATCTCGAATAAACCTTTTTTTTTTACATACTCGGCTAAACCTTATAATTACACAATCCATATATTTTTAGTATAAAATAACATTTGGTGCAAAAATTATTAATTTACATCTCGATTAATATTATTTCCATCTCGACTAAACCTTATATTTCCATCTCGTATTGCAAAACATTTTCTATCTTTAATTACAAAGTTTCCCTTATAAATTGTGGATACTAAATTATTCTATTCCATTTTCTATTTTTAAATATATATCTTTACATAACTATATTTTAGTAACATATATATATATACATATTTTTTTTATATTTCCAGTAACATTATATTTTATAAAATATATAACCGAGATTAATATTCTTTCTATATACTAAGTCTGTTTGGAAGCATTTTTCATTTTCAGTCAATTATTAATAGTCATTACTATTTCAATTGGCCTAAATTTCGTGTCATTTTTATTCTCAGTGAATTATTATTTCCATCTCAGTTAATATCTCTTTTCTCCTCGGTTAAACGTTGAGATGCAAACTTCATTTTACATTTTTATTAATACAGTTTATACCAGTAATTTTTATATTTTTAGTAACTTATTAATATTCAATTATTAATATTCATTTTCTTTTCCAATTGGCCTAATTTCCATAAAAAAAATTATATTTCCGGTAATTTATTAATATTCATTTCATTTTTATTTTTTAGTCAAGTATTAATATTCATTCCATTTTTGTATTTGAGTCACTTTCAAAGCATTTTTAATTTCCAGTCAATTATTAATAGTCATTTCCTATTTCAATTGGCCTAAATTATGTGTCGTTTTTATTCTCAGTTAATAATTATCTTTGTAATATTCTTGTAAATACTATAATTCCACCCATGAACATGATGTGGATAAAAAAATAAAATAAATGAATATTCAAAAGAATGTAAACTCATTAAATCTTTTAATTTAAACAAAAGACAAATATTCAAATTTAAAATATAAAATATATATGATTATTCATGCAGTTTACTAAATATGTTTATTACCAATTAATTATATTTCCAATTATATTATAAAATACCATACATATTATTACCAATTATGCTATTATGAAAAAATAAAATAAATGAATATTCAAAAGAATGTAAACCCATTAAATCTTTCAATTTAAACAAAAGATAGAAATTTAAAATTTAAAATATAAAATCTATATGCTTATTCGTGCAGTTTACTGAATATGTTTATTACCAATTATATTATAAAATACCATACATATAATTACCAATTATGCTACTATGTGGTTATCTAATTAATATATTTTCTACATGGTATTACCAATAGAATATTTAATTAATTGACTACAAAAGTTTAAACAAAAAAATGAAATAGGAGAATTTATATATATATATATATATATATATATATATATATATATATATATATATATATAGGGAAGGGATCAGGTGCATTTGTTGCTTCCCGTGCGGTTGTGCGGTTGATTAATGTGCGCGAGGTTTATACTTAATGTGCGTGATGTTAATATGCGTGAGTTTTGTACTTAATGTGCTTGAGTATTGTGTTTAATGTGCGTGAGATTTGTGCTTAATGTGCGCGAGTATTTCAGAATTACGAGCTCAGAAGGAAGCAGAACAGAAACTCACGCACATTAATGTCCAAGCTTCTTGTTACTTCTTCCTTCAATTTGGCCATGGATTCTGGATTATCAGCTACCTTCAGTGCAGTTGAATGTTTATATAAATGACGCACTCACAGTAAAATTTGCACAGCAACATCATCATAATTGTTAACCACAACAGCCCGCCTCCGCATCATCATCATCGGGGGGAGGGGCATCATCATCATCGGGGAGGGAGCAATGACTACTGGGATGGGGAAGAAGCTGAAATCCATATTTTCTGCTGCATTTTACACATTCACGCATATTAAGTACAAATCTCAGGCACATTAGACACAACACTCACACACATTGAGTACAAATCTCACGCACATTAATAACCACACAACCGCACGGGAACCTTTTTTTTTCTCTCTCTCTCTCTCTCTCTCTCTCTCTATATATATATATATATATATATATATATATATATATATATATATATATATATATAGATTATGTATTATTTTTATTATTAAGGTATAATATTATTAAATAAGAATTATTTAAAATATATAAATTCACATTAAGAAAATTCTTATCAATTTCATATATTAAAACTATATATTTATATTAAAGGTGAGATTATAAATAATTAAGTTTCAATAAGTTTAGTTATTCCCAAAGTTATATATGGTTAATAATGAATATTTTTCTATATTAGATTATGCTTATATATGGTTTACCCGTATTAACTATCACTATATTAGATTAATATATAATTTTTTAATATAATATATAATTAAATCTAAACAAATTGTTAATATTTATTCAATATTATTATGAAAGTATTACAATTATAAAATTACAATTATAGCTTTGTATATGAAAAAACATAGAAACTTAAATAGTTTAAATCAAAATTATTAAAAGTAATGAGTCTATAGTACAAAATAAATTATACTTACTTTAATAATTAAGTATTAATATAATTTCCTAATATAAATTTACAATTATTAATAATTATTTGTGGTAATTATTAGGCATTAAAATCCTCCCTGCATAACACAAAGAGAACAATAAAAAAACACCATCAGATACTTAAAACACAACCCACAATATATATATATATATATATATATATATATATATATATATATATATATATATATATATATATATATATATATATATATATATATATATATATATATATATATATATATATTTTAAAAAACATTAAATGGAACAAATAATCCATACTCTAAAAACAAAAAATATAAGAACATTGATTTCTATAAGAATTTAATTACAGAAATCAAATT